ATGCAACATTTTCATGAGCTTCTTGCAATGCACTTGCGAAATAAAATAACACTTTATTAAAGGGTGTTCATAACAGAATAAAAATAAGTAATAAACCATACAATACTGTGAAAATGCAGTAATCAAATAAAACATCTAAAGAAGTCGCTCCACCCTGTATCGCTTGGAGGAAACTGGTTTACCTTGGTGCGTTTTTGGAATGTTACAAGAAAGCATGACTACAAAATAGTTGATATTTCAGGTCTTACCAAACCAAAATGTCCTGATTAGCCATGCAACTACTGGTTGTGAATGAATGATGCATGATGAATGAATGATATAAATCAATGTACTACAACTTTAAAAAGTAGCTGTTCCAAATCTCACCATAGAGTTCCTGTGATGCGTGACTTGTACTACTGGGGTCCGGCGCACTCCACATGAGGTAACCGCTGCTACTACGCCTGGGCATGTCCTGTGAGGAGCCTGAAGCCAAGAGTCCTCTTGAAAACCTTCTCAAGGCATCACACCATGAGCTGGAGGATCCATAGATGGAGCTGCCATCTATCCAAGCGGTCACGTGATTCACCTGAAATGAATTATGGGTAGCTCAAAAACTCAACAGGCCCATTCCAATCTCTTACAGTCAATTGTGACTACATGCGCACCTGTGTGCGGGGATTGTTGGGACTTTTGCCTGTGCTCGGGTCCCACTCTGCTCTCTGGAACTGGAGAAGGACCGGTTGTGAGGAGCTAAAGACGGGATCTTCTTTTTGGACTTCAATATGCATGAACTCAGGTGGGCAACCTGGTCTACGGGATTCTGAGATCTCAGCCCACACATGGTAACCTAATGTAGTAATAAAAAGCATGTGTTCAAGTGGCCATTGGAACTAAATTCTCTTTGACCTTTTCAATATCAAAAACACATCTTTTGAAAATAAGCTGCAAAAACATCTCATTGCATGTGAAACACTTGAAGAACTTTATAAAGTGCTTAATTCTTAATAGCACCAGTGCATATTTTAAGCAAAAAAAAAAAGATCTTAGTGGAATTTAAAATGTTCTTCTTTAGCATCTGGCTATGGGGTTCTATTTTGGAACCTGTATTTTCAACAATTATTCACTGGTAATTTTCATGCTGTTAACCTGGGAACCTCTGCAATCCCTATCTATGTTCACATGCACCACAAACAATCGGTATATTATCGAATTGATGGCTCAATCTGAGTGAAAACCCCACAATAAGATAGATCCGAAAGAAATTAAGAATGGATTGAAAAGCGTAGTGTACAGTGACACTGTAGCGTGTGGAAAGATTGGGATGAAAAGTCCCCATTCATTGTGATTGCATGGAAAAGCGTGACCAGTAATCTTTCGAATTTGCGTGAAAAAAAAGTCAAAATTGTGACACATAACCAACTAATTGCGAGAAAAAAGTATGAATTGTAAGACAAAAACTCGCAATTGCAAAAAAAGTCAGAATTGCTATATATAATCTCACAATAAATAGAAAAAAAGTCATAATTGGGAGGTATAACCTCTTAATTGTGAGAAAAAAAGTCGAATCGAGAGATATACACTTGCAATTGCAAGAAAAAGTCAAAATTGTGAGATAATAACCTCCTAATTGAGATAAAAAAGTCAAAATTGTAAAAAACGTGTAAAACTGAGGAAAAAAAACGAATTGAGACAAATTCAATCGCAAGTAAAAATAAAAAAAGGTAATTGTGACTTTCTTTTTCTCGGAATTGCGAGATATAAAGTCAGAATTGCGAGATATAAAGTCAGGATTGCGAGATATAAAGTTAGAATTGCGAGATATAAAGTCGCAATTGCGTGTTATAAAGTCAGAAATGCATGATATAAAGTCGAAATTGCATGTTGTAAAGTCAGAATTGTGAGATATAAACTATTCCGAGGGGTAAAAAGTTAGTCTTTTTCCCCCTTAGAATTGGCCTGATATTGGCCGACTCGCAATTGTGAGTTTATACTGTATCTCCAAATTCTGAGAAAAGATGTCAGAATTTCAAGATATAAACTCGCAATTATGTGTTATAAAATCAATCAGAGAAAAAAAGTGTGAGGAAAAAAAGTCATAATTGTGACATAAAAATTTGCAATTCTGTCTTTTTTTGCAATTGCGACTTTATTTCTCAGAATTGCGACTTTACATCTCGCAATTGCGACTTTATTTCTCTGAATTGCGACTATATCTCACAATTGCGACTTTATTTCTCAGAATTGCGACTTTATATCTCACAATTGCGACTTTATATCTCAGAATTGCGACTTTATATCTCGCAATTGCGACTTTATTTCTCTGAATTGCGACTATATCTCACAATTGCGACTTTAATTCTCTGAATTGCGACTTTATATCTCACAATTTTGACTTTATTTCTCAGAATTGCGACTTTATATCTCGCAATTGCGACTTTATTTCTCACAATCTTCATATCTTGCAATTGTGAGATAAAAGTCGCAATTATTATTATAATTTTTTTTATTCAGTGGCAGAAACAAGCTTCCATATATTAGTGAGAAAAAAGTCTGAATTGTGAAAAAAAAAAAGTTTTTGGCTGTGTCTCAATCAACAGGCTGCACCTAGTTTAAATGAAGGAGGCACTCACCGAAAGCCAGGGAGAGAAGAGTTCTGTTCTTGTATGACTGGAGACCGGATCGGCCGCTCATGGCCGTGTTGCTTATCTGGCGAGGGTTGGGCAGGTACGGCTCCTGTCGGGGAAGATAAACTCCATCCGTGTACTGCGCTGGCAAGAAGCGGACCAGAGCTGCATCTGTAGGGGCAACATGATGTTTAGAACAAAATATTTCTTCTTTTTTTTTTTGTAAAAAGCATAAAAGAAGATTTAATTTACTCACCTGCAGCCCCTCGATCATGATATGCCAAATTATTGTACCATCCATCATACCTTTGAACTTCCCAGGTAATGGCAGAACTCGCACCTGTTTGGTTCAAGATCAAAGGGAGTTTGGCAACACTGTAATAACTTACATAAAGAAGTCATTAACAAACATTATACGATGATTCACGGTACTGCATGAACATTCAAGATGGTCACATCATTTTTTTTAATCTAGGATTGTAAAATGAAGGAGAAATATGCTCAATTCTGCTCTATTTCTATATATCGTTTTCCTTTATTTTTATTATTGTTACTTTTGTTCTATTTTTAAAACATGTTACACATTGTATTAATAGAATTAGAAAAAATAAAATAAAACTGAATAGAGTGATGAAAGAGGGCTCAAATTTATTTTATGTTTTGAAAATAGAATAGATTAGACAGACAGGCAGACAAGCAGACATAGATAGATAGATAGATAGATAGATAGATAGATAGATAGATAGATAGATAGATAGATAGATAGATAGATAGATAGATAGATAGATAGATAGATAGACTCACCAACAGCTTGACAGAGAACAGACAGTGCAGTTAAAGTCCTCCAGATCACCTCACATAAGTCCATTCTTGCAAACCAGTGAAGCACCTCTTCGCCCAAGAGCACTTCACTTTAGACTAGAGAAAACACTGAGTGCGGTGTGTACAAGTAGACCGAGCTTTCCTCTAAGAATGACAAAGCATGGACCTCGAAACAAATATTAAGGCAATTAAACCGAAAACACAGTCACACCTGTCTTTGGAGAAAGCAGACCTCGCCTGTGCGCATAGATAGAAATGGCAGTGACAATAAAAGGGATAAAAGGAAGAGTCCGAGAGAGTGACGGAATGAGAGTCCGACCCACACCCACACCTGACTGTTTCGCACACAGAGTTTACCATGCAGGGCTGGTCATGAGGTTGACACCTTTCTATGGACATACCAATCAATGCAAATCAAAGCTATTATTAGGAAGCGCGATCGTTTAAAAGATGAGCGCCGACCGGATCATCTTATTTGCAGGACTCATATTTCCCCGTCGTGTTTTGCGGCTCGCGTTGCATCCACAGGTGAGTTGCACTGCGGGGCTGAAAGGTGCAAATATCTATTATGCGGCATATCTAATTCTGTCAGACTTGGAGAAAAAGAGAATAAATTTATGATAATCAAAATGTGCGCTTATCTGAACAGTTGTTGAGTAGCGTTTTCTGTGAAGGCTAGAGGCTAAATGTTTTAATGATGGATCATATGTTCGAAAATGTGAGAAGTAGATGGGTTAAACTATCGGAGTTTAACCCTCGTAATTAATTAAAATCCTCCTGGAAGACAGTTGACTTTGGGAGGTCTAAAAAGTAGCCCAGAAAGCCTCTCTCTCTTTTATTTGTATTTTCTTTTATTGTTAATTAATTGTTTTTTTTTTTACTATTTGTTTCAACAGGATTGAATTAGCCTATGCCTAATTTTTACCACTAAAGTTAGAAATGAAGACTACTTTCACCCAGCTAACATGGAACGTTCTCAGAACTTTGAATATAAGCTTAGGCTGTATTGAAGTTAGGAACGTTATAGGCTACGTTAAATAACGTTCTTTTAAGGCCCTATCGTTTTCTAAATAAAAATGTTAGTTCTATTAATATTTTAAAACGTAGGCTATAAAACTGGACGTTAGCGTTCAGATTACATTCATAAATAAAAATTAATTAATTAATTAAATAAATAAAACTTTTAACCTTTTTTACAAGTTAATTCGAATTTCGAAAGTTAGCAAAACATTACAACGAAACTCGCTTGCGAATTCGAACTGAGGTAACAGCAACACAGGCTGCTCGAGCACATCTCTACGATAATTCAACAAAACATAACCTACAATAGCAATAATTTAGCTCTTAATTAGCTCCTAAACTACACAAAGGGGGGTTGTGGTTATCTATTGCACATTTATCTGGAATTTCTCAAACTAACGGGTTGCGCGAGACGTACCTCAATAGCGGCCGTCAAATTTTGATACCCTTGAAAGTCACTGAATAATTCGCACTCTAGACTGTTATCTGCAATCCTCAGGTAACCGAGCCTCTTGCCAACACTGTCCTGCTTTCAGCTTTAGTTCTCGCCTGTGGAGGGAAGATGACTTTCTACGATGGCATTTACCCGTTCTACTCGCTACAAAGAAGCTCGTTCATCATCGACATCAGCCTGCTGGTCGCGATCCTGGTTTTCTCGGTTCTGGCTGTCAGTTTCATCTTCATTCTTCCAGGAATACGTGGCAAATCGGTGAGAGAGCGAGATCTAGAACACTATAGCAAAAACAATAGAGCTCTCCAATAGGGGAAAATAAAAAAGTTGAATGTGAGCTGAAATAGCTAATTACGTGTGCAGAAATGTCACTAAATGTCATTTTATGATGGTTAGGCTACTTGTACATTTTTAAAAATGTCATTTATTTTACATTTTTATTTTGATTGATTGTTGTAAACTCTGAGGTAAAAGGAGTTTCCTTGTACCTTGAATTCACCTGACTTGTCAAACATAGCCTTTTACAATCGTATTTCTTTCTATAATTTTACAAATATTGAGATTAATGTTCTAACCTTAAGCACTTTTTGCTCTTATTAACTTATAAACATACAGTATAAAGTTTTTTACATCAACTCTTTTGTGTACAGATTTGCAAAAAAAAAATAAATAAAAGTAGCCTAACATTACAATATGATATCCTCTTTTTCAGAGACTGTTCTGGATGTTCAGGATAATCACTAGTTTATTTATCGGGGGTGTTTTAGTTGGTGAGTATTTGAATTATTTCCATTCATTAGGAAATCATGTATAGCGGCCTCAAAAACTATTTTCACACTCCCAAGTTAAGTGCTCTACTTCACCAATTTTTCAATGACCTTTAACCAAGGTCAAAGTAATAACCAGAAATTGTCGTTCATTAAATTTAATGTCACTTGGTTTGACATATTTGTTATGTAATGGAATGACTTTCATTTAATGGAATGACATTTTTTAAGGGCGAGCACGAGTCTAAATATTCAGCAGGAACAACAGAAATAAATAAGTTCAATTATTATATAAGAGCTGCTAAACTTAAATGGCCTACATTTTCCTTCATGATCTGCTGAACTCTTCTTGTCTGCTTCAGTGTTGAATTTTACCGGAGACTGGGCTGAAGCCAGCGTGAAGGCCAACGCCACCTACAAATCCTTCAGTACCGCAGTGGTGTCCGCTGAGGTGGGACTGCACGTGGGCCTGTACGGAATAAACATCACACTCAGAGGTGAACAAGACGAGTCCGCGACATTTTAGGCCCACTTTTTTCAGCCACGAAACTCTGACCGGGTCTTTTGACATCTGTTCCTTCAGGCGAGCCAGTATCGCAGATAAACGAGACCATCGACTACAACGAGATCTTCAGTTGGTCGAGCAGCGTGGACGAGCAATACGGCGACGCGCTCGAGAGGGGTCTTCCTGACCCCATCCTTTACATCGCAGAGAAGTTCACACGCAACAGCGCCTGCGGGCTCATCTTCCAGTACAGATACTCAGGCCGCTTCGCCTCAGCCAATCTCTGGTAAACCAACACACAGTCACCACCAATCTCTTACTGTAGTGTAAAGAAACTCCGTCCTATTCAACAAATGCAAACAAGCTTAAGTAAAGAATGGTCTTCTCCCGCAGGACGGCTTTTTGCTGCTGGCTGGTGGCCAATATCCTCTTCTCAATGCCCGTCATCCTCTACGCCGGGTACATGATGATAGCCACGGCTGCTTTCATCTTCTTCTCCGTGGCTTCCTTCTCAACTATATACAACGTGCCCCGATGTGACTTCAGTATAGGTGCGGAGTCCTTAAGGACAGACTACAGCCACTCCTTCTGGATCGCTTTGGCAACGGGTAAATGCTCCTAATGCTCAAAAGGTTTTCACTTGGAAAGCATGTACTTTATAACATGATTGATTACGGTTGATTTTCAGGTTTACTGTGCGCTGTGATTGGTTTGGTGGTGGTGTTGCTGGATTGTCTGTTTCCTGCGAGGATGAGGGAGGCGTTCAGCGTTGGCGTGGACTACGAGGAAGACGAATGCCATACCGATGAATGCTACCTCAACTCAGGCTTTCTAGAGGGAGTGATCTCTGACGACATCACACAGACGGGGAATGGCTCTTTGCCTCAGCAGATCACTACATTAACAGTATGTTTTATATACAAATGAATGCATTTTCATTAACATTAGCTGAAAGACAAACGATTTGGTCGTTATTTACTCACCCTCATTTCCGTGGAACACAAAATAAGATGTTTTGAAGAATGTTCACGCTGCTCTTTTCCATACAACGACTGCATATTACTACTAACACAAAAATGGTGTCATTAATTGTTTAAAAATCCACTGAAATATTTATTGTTTTTTTGTTGTTTTTTTAACAGAGGCTTTGAGGGGCGGTTTGTTGTCATCCACAACTATTACTTGAAAACTTGCAGACTGAAACTTTCTGGGAGCATCTGTATATAAATTGTTACTGTTTCTATTGTTCTACGTCATATACATGTAAATAACGCGCAAAAAATAAAAAATAAAAATATATTGTAAAAATCCAATTCTACAATGTGTCCATTTTCATTATTTATGTATGTACTTTATAGTGAGATACTATGCACACATTATTGTAATAACGACATTTGGCGATATCAAGATTGAATTCATAACCACGTGAATGTGGAAATTTACAGATAATTTAATTCAAGGTATATTAAACTAGACTTATTATCATCAACTAGAAACTAAAACCATAAAAATATCATTTTCAATACTTGAAATTAGTGCGGTAAAAATTGATTAATTGCATCGAACATAAAAGTTTGTGTTTATATAATAAATGTGTGTATATATTTTATTGTATTCATGTATATATTTTGTGTTGTGAGAGAGAGAGAGAGAATATACACTAAAGAAGAACATATACACTGCAAAGAAATATTGTTGGTTTAACTTAAAGTAAGTAACCTGGTTGCCTTAAAATTTTAAGTTCATTGAAATGGAAAAAGTGAGTTAATACAATGAAGGAGAATGATTTAATCATCAGAAACTCAAAATTATATGTTATCTGAACTAAATAAATTATTTAAGTTGATTTCACAAAAGAAAAAATGTTGTGATTACTAATCATGAAAAGATTTTTTTATAAGATATATATACACACATAATTTTGTGTTTATATGTGTGTATATTAAATGTGATTAATTTCAATTAATCGATTTGACAGCAATACTTGAAATAAATAATAAAATGAAATTGAAATACAATACTTTTTTAAATATAAAAATATTTTCATTTACTTTAAATTGAAGTAAATAAACTACAGAAAAACTATATAAATATAAAAAAGCACACAAGATAAAACTAAAAAAAACAACAAAATTACTAAAACTTTATTCAAATGAAAACAAAATATCGAATTCAAAATATTAACAAAAACTATAATAGTACATCACTGGTACTAAAATAACGCTGCTATATATGTGTGGATTTAATGCCCAGAGAAAAAATGAAAAGCACTAAAATGACATACCTGAAATGCAGATGGGGTTCATTGATTCATGAGAAAATTCTGACTCACAAATTCTATTACTTATAATATCATGCATGAACATGAATGCAGCTCAGGTTGTCTGATTAGTAAATCTTTAAAATCCAGCATGCTGAACAAGTAATCTACAGAAATGAGTCATTCATAGTGTACAGTACCCATTTATCACACAGACACCGAGGACAGTCAGAAGAACTGAAATGCAGCCTATTCAAAACATGTAACAGTAATCTTTGGATTTTAGCATGCTTTAGTCCAATTTTTGAGTTCGTGAAATGAGTATTGTTAATCAAATGTAGTGATAATGCCCTACTTTGTCGATTAAATCATCAGTATCTGAACTTTCATACAGTCACTTGGTATTTTTCATTCATGAGTACTTTTAAGTATTTAAAGAACTCAAAAGGGTTGGTAGCACTTTATTTCACAGACCTTGTTCCCCATGCATACTATGACCTTTTAATAGTAATAATAACTAGGTACTAACCCTGAACCTACACCTAAACGTAACCTTAAATCATGTAGTTACATTACCCAGTACTTGAAATTCACTTTGAAATTAATTTTTGATATGTTTTATCTTACCTCAAGGGCAGCAAAGATGTTGGTGTCTTTGTTTCCACAGTATTTTCAATTTTGATATTTTTAGGTCAAACCGTTCTTGTCTGTAAGTCATATAATGGAGGTCTATGGTCACCACCTCAAAGAGCATGCACAGAGAAGTCCAAATTAAACATGATTTAATGACTCGTAAATGTAAGTACACACTGATGGCCCAAGACACGAAACGAGCGGTTTGTGTAAGAAAACGAACAGCATTTATATCGTTTTTACCTCTTGTAACTGTAAGGACCGTCCATTGGCCCAAAGACGGAATCCAACGGCTAATGCGTGTATGTCTTTTTAACGCTCCAGCGAAGTTCACTTAATTTATTAGACTTACGTTTAATATTACTTTAGCTCTACGGTTAATCTGACTCCAATTTTTACTGATGATCAAGTTTAGATTGTGTTTCTTATTAGAAAATAAGCATAACTATTGATTCTGATTTAATTTAGATCTTTGATTATTCAGAGTTTCTTACACTTTCAGTTATTAATTCATTATGGAGCCGATGCCGCACAGAGATCACGTCGGCCGTATCGTGTTTCTCACGGACACAAACCTTGTCGGTTCTGTATTTAGTCAGAGGATGCAGGGTTAGCTAATACTTCTTAAAGGGATACTCCACTTTTTATGGAAATAGGCTCATTTTACCACTCCCCCAAAGTTAAACAGTTGAGTTTTACCGTTTTTGAACCCATTCAGCCGATTTTCTGATATTTAAAAGAATAACAGTAACCAGACAGTTTCTGGTCTCATTGACTTCCATAGTAGGAAAAAAATATATACTATTGAAGTCAATGAAACCAGAAACTGTCTGGTTACTGATATTCTTCTAAATATCTGAAAATCGGCTGAATACATACGAAACAGTTGGGTAAAACCCAACTTTTTAACTCTGGGGGAGAGGTAAAATGAGCCTATTTCCAAAAAAAGTGGAGTATCCCTTTAAGTCGGTTGCCTACTGCTCACTCGTATTGTTTTACTGCAGGTTCGAATTCCTAAATTCAGTCTTAGGCCCTGTCCACACTACTGCGTTTTCGTTTAAAAACGGAGACCTTTTGCTACGTTTGCACCTCCCGTTCAGACTAAAACGAAGGCCTAAAACGGAGAAGTTTAGAAACGCTGCAGCTCCGTTTTGAATCTCCGGAGGGCGTTTTAATGTAGACGGGACAAAACGTAGGACTTCAGAAACGCTAACGCAGGGGCTGACGCTTGGCTCCATGATTGGGTGTTATCAGTCGTGACGTGTCCTTCCCTAATTCGTCAATCCCTGTTTACACCGGCACGCGCATGCCCAGTGTTGGTGAGTGGTCACGTGATCCGCGTTTTCAGTCGTTTTAATGTGGACGGAGATCATTTCTAATACGCAGATAAAACGCTGGTGTGGGCGGAGATCGTATTCGTTTTAATTCTCCGTTTTTAAATGAAAACGCAGTAGTGTGGACGGGGCCTTCCTTACATAACCACAGCCACATCCAAGTACTCTGAGGGCGGGGGCGCTTGGACGTGACTGTGATTACACGAGGTAAAAACGATATAAATACTGTTCGTTTTCTCACACAAACCGCTCGTTTTGTGTCTTGGGCCATCAATGTGTACTTACATTTACGAGTCAATACATTTAATTTGGACATCTCTATGCATGCTCTTTGAGGTGGTGACCATAGACCTCCATTATATGACAAGAACGGTTTGACCTAAAAATATCAAAATTGAAACTACTGCGGAAACAAAGACGCTTACATCTTGGATGCCCTTGAGGTAAGCTAAAACATACCAAAAAATTATTTCAAAGTGAACTATCGCTTTAAGTGACTGTAAGTACATGCACAGTAAAATAAAGTGCAACCAAAAGGCTTGAACTAAAGGCATTCAACATATATACAAACTAACAAGTCTGCCATGGAAGACTGTATATATTGCATTAATGAGCAAGTAACAGCCCCCCTTTGATAAAGTAATTATGTGATTATGTCTTTCTAATGATCTTTACATGCAGTCTGCAGCCACATGAAGCAAGATGAATATTTTTCTGCTTTTTTTTAGGAGGAGCTGTAATAATTTTTTTTTACGTCGCAGGAAAAAGTCAGTTTCATGAATTTCTTATATGTACACCGGAGTCTCTTGACCAGTTAACAATCTGAACATGACGGCCGGCATAGTTTTCATGCTAATCTGTTGAGAAAAAGGAAAAGACACCTCGTTTTAATAGCATTCATGTCATTAATAAATTACGTAATAAAAAATAATTGAGGTTACACAAAAAGGGGTGTAAAGTACTAATCATTCCTCAGATCTGCACAGTACTTGCGTATTGTTTTGAGGAATTTGTACTGTACTCGAGTTCAGTTGAAACCGCAATTACACTGTCATCATCAAAAAGCACGTATATAATTAGCTTCCATTTTTTATTGAGTGTTTTTAATTGCTTTTAACATTTTCTTTTCATAATTTTACAACCGTGTTGAAATGATACACGTCATAATTTTCTATTTTAGGAATGTTGCTCATCCACACTTACACAACGCATTCATGAAAAGCATGTTTCACACTTTTTCCTCAGAAAAATTTCATAAATAATTTTAGTTCCCTGGCTACTTTATTAGGTACACCTGTTCAGCTCCACATTAACGCAAATATCTTATCAGCCAATCTCATGGTAGCAACTCAATGCATTTTAGACATGATCAAACTGAACATCATAATGGTGAAGAAAGAAAGATGATTTAAGTGACTTTGAACCAAAACTGGACAATAGAAGATTGGACAAACGTTTCTGCTGTGACATTCAGATGGTTTGACGTAAACATCATGAAAGCATGAATCCATCCTGCCTTGTATTACCGGTTCTGGCTTATAATGGTGATGGTGTAATGTGTGTTGGATATTTTTCTTGGCACACTTTGTGCCTCTTAGTACCAACAGAGCATCGTTTCAACGCCACAGAGATGGACTGACCATGTCCATCTCTTTATGACCACAGTGTTTCATCTTCTGATGGCTAATTCCAGCAGGATAACACGCCATGTCGGGAAGCTTAAATCATCTCAAACTGGTTTCTTGAACATGAATGAGTTCACTAAACTGAAACTGACTCCACAGTCACCAGATCTCAATCCAATAGAGCATCTTTGGGATGTGGAGAAATGGGAAATTCAGATCCTGGATGTTCAGCCGACAAATCTGCAGAAACTATATGATGATTTCATGTCAATATGGACCCAAATCTCTGAGGAATGTTTCCAGCGACTTGTTGAATCTGTGCCATGAGGAGTTAAGACAGTTCTGAAGGCAAAAGGCAACCCAGTACTAGCAAGGTGTACCTAAAAAAGTGCCATTGAGTGTGTATATATACTGCAAATACATATATGAAGAGTTCAGATGCAAAAGCCTCTAAATGCCATTTGAAATTTTCTTCTTTAATGATGATTTTTATCAAACTTGTATATTTAAGTTCAGTAATTTCACTTAAATAACAATTAATAGGTAATTATCATTGGCATTTAAGTGAAATCACTGAACTTAAATATACAAGCTTGATAAAAATGATCATTTTAGAAGAAAATTTCAAATGGCACTTAGAGGCTTTTGCATCTGAACTCTTCATATATATTAGGGCTGTCAAACGAT